AGGGCCAGATCAGAGGAGGCAGGTGAGGGGGTTAAAATGCATTTACAAAGAGAAATGTCCTGTGGGCATTTCCCTCCTGGCTTTGCCCACTCTGTGCTGAGGTGAATACAAAGAGAGCAAATGGTTTATGTTTAATGGCATCTCTGGGAACTTGCATCTCTCTGAAGAAATCACTTTTTTAAGTAATGGAAATTGCCTCTCTTGAGGTGTCTTCCTGTCTTTATGATTCTTCATAAAGAAAATAGTTTGTTTATGAATTGATTCCAACTAAACACTTGCTTATTCAGTGTCAGAAATTTGCAGATCCATTAACAAAGACTAACCATGTAGAGATGATTAAAGGACAGCAAATAACACTCTGTGACAGACTCAAGTTTACAGTACATGGTATATCACAGAATTTCCTGAGCCTTTTACTTCCATTACTGCCTTTTCAAAAAGCTTTTTTACAGTTTGGGGTGTGTAGAGCCTTGGAACTAAAGGAGGAAAAAGCCTGATGGTTTTTTGAATTTACAGTTCTGTTAAAACTAATAAAGACATGATAGAAGACAGCACAAATGTTTTATCAGTTGAATTTCTGCCTTTAGTACAGAAGATGGGTAAAGTGTATGTCTTTTGCAGTAAATAATCATGATAAATTTTTGTATTTGTGTGTGCATTTACTATTTTTAGGAGACATGAGGCTCCCTTGGAGGTAGGAGGGTGGATTAAAATGGGATTTCAGGTTCTTGGGAACTTTTACTTCATGGCCAAAAGTTCTTGGCAACATTTGTATGTGAAATGTTAAACTGAATTTACTGTCTCAATTCATAGGTAAAAGTAGAAAGTGTTTGCTATGAGTTATTTGCTGTTTGATTTAGTTAATATTTTAGGAATATTGATTTGGAGTCTTGGTCATAATGTTTGGAATTTTTATTTACATTTTAGAACCTTTAAATTAGGTCTGTGCTATTGTTATGTTCCCTGTCTCTGGCACACGTTAAGCTGTGTAAGATTATCTTACCTCTTAAAAAGGAGGTTTTGGCATGAGAAATATCAACTTAGAAAATTCTTTTTAATGTGTTTTGTCTTCCACTCCATCTGTAAATATTGGTTATTTCTATGAAACATTGGTCATCTTTGTTTTAGCTGTAGAAGTTGGCTTTGTCAGCTGATTTTCTGTGGAAGCAGAAGTTAGAGTACGTTTATTTTGTTGAGGAACAATCACTCTTTCTTATGTTCTGTAGGTACCCTGAAGCAGTCACCCCATCACTTAGCAGTTTCCAGATGGGAAATGAGAGCAGGAAAGCAGAAAGCTGTTAAACCACCTCTTCCTTTACAGTCCCTCTTAAAAACTGGGAGAACATATCCAGAGTAGTAAACTTAAACTATTCTCAGCCCTGAGCCACTTAGAATTTGGAACTGAATTCACACTGGCAAAGATTAATACTGATCAGATGAGCTTTACTAGTAAAGCAGAGCTTAACAGGGTGCTGCTTTCCAGCTGAAATGTGACTGTTTCTTATGCAGATCAGTGCAGAATGAAATGTGTGAGTTTGGCTGTGCTCTTTCATTCACCTGTTTGATACCACACAGGAGCACAGAGCTAATGCCAGAGTCAGGAGTAACAACTGAAGGGTTTAAATAGCCTCTGATCAGGTAAACTCAATGATCTGCAGGGATGAGAAAGTGCAGTGATCCCTTCACCCTCAGCAGGCTGCTTTCTACATTTATTTAATTTTTGTCATTCTTCTTTTATACGCTATCACATTTGTTTGTAACTACATTAAAATTACAGATTTACAAATGCTCTGTCAGGCAGAGATTGAAGTCAAACCTATGAGGTAGACTTCTTATAGTCTCTTAATACAGGAGAAACTATTGGTGCATTTGTCACTTATGTTGATTGTGCTTCAAAAATGAAATTAGTACTTATTTTGGAATTTATGTACACCTTTGATGGGCAGGGCAGGTTGTGTGTGTGTTTTTTTACTGTGACTATAGGAATTCATTATTTGTGTTTTGCTTTTTGGTTAAAAGAAAAAAACCAAGATTAATTATTTTGCACAGGGAAGGTAGCCAATTTCATCTGTTCCAGATCTTGATGTGAGTTTGTGGGAAAGCTCTAAATGCATTGGTTTTCTCTCTTATACAATAAATGAATCCAGTAGGATTTTAGATACGGTCATGAAACACATATTTTGTACAAAACCCACAAAATGGACCAAAGTCACTCAGTCAGTAACTCACAGTGCAGGAAGTGGTCTCCAGTTTACAGCATATCACATAACATTCTCTTTGTGTTAGGTGAAAGTATCCATACTTATGTGCATTATATACAAATAACATGTGTTACGTGTCTTAACCAATAATTTATGTCCTGTAAATAGCCCTTTGGTTCTATAAGAACCAGGCACACTGACTTGTTGGCTAATTCTCTAGAAAAGAAAATTTATTTCCTCTTCTCAGTAGTGTCTCTTGGGTTGTTGTGGAGATGCTTTTATTAGCAGAGGGAAATAAATCAGGACTGTTCTGACAGTCAAATTGCATTAGGTCCTATAACTTCTTTTGAATTAGTGAGTTTAATAAGCCAGGCTAACAGCCTAACTTTGTTTTCTTTGAAAAGAAGTTTCTTGATTATCTGATCATGTATTTTGGATGACTTTAAAGAGCCTGGAGGAGTATTTGTTGAACAATTTGAGATGTTGGAAACATACCTAAATCCAGTACAGAAGAACTCGGGCTCTGTCTAGTGAAAACCAGACTTAACTCTATACTCAGTGTCTCTTAGGAGAATACTGATGCCCTCAGTTGATGCATAGGTGACCCCAAAAACAGTATTCCCAATTCCCTGTGTTTGGGAAGGAAAGATTGGAGGGAGTTTTTGAAATTTAAGGTGTAGTTGAAAAGGAAATGAAATAAAATATTTCAGATTTCCTCAGGCTGGAAATCCCAAAAAAGCATTTCAGAAACACCCACCAATGCTGGTTCCAAAGCCAAGTGTGTCCCCTGGTGCTCACAGCTGCTCGTGGGGCTGACACACTTGTCAGTCTCACTGCTGCCACTTCCTCCTGGAGTCTGCATCCTCTTGGCAGGGCATTAATTACACTTGCACTTGCTGTGGAGAGCCCTTTCCCAGGGCGTGTGATTTGGAGTGCTTATGGGGCAGTAAGGAATCTGGAAGCAGTGACAGCCCTAACTCCAAAAGGCTTTGCAAAGCTCACAGGGATGCACTTGTGGCCAGGTCTCAGCCAGAAGCCCAGATGCAGGGTTTTCAGTCTCACAGTTCAGTGACACAGGAGTGTCAGGATTTGACTAGAAAGTCACCCAAAAGTAGGGAGCCTTTTAAGTGTTCCTAAATGCATTACCTCAGGAAAGGGTTCTACTCTTCCATGATTTTTGGTTATTGGGCACTCTTGCTGACATCTGCCTGGGAGACCTGGGGCATTTTTTTTCTAGGATAAAATACTGTCCAGCCTAATCAGCTTTCTGGAATTCTTGTTTTTAAACAAAAGAAAGCCACAACAGCTTATTATTGACCCTCAGACAAGAGCTGCAGGGCTAAGGCCCTGGAACGTGAACCTTTCCTTTGTTTGGGAAACCCAGATCCATCCCAAGGTCAGTCCCATTAAAGACAGGCATCAAGACTTTCCACAGTCCCATAATATTCTGCTCCACAAGTCTCCTGGATTCTACTAGAATGTGGCCTTGGCTCTAAAGAAACTAATTAAAAACTACACACTTCAAGGCAAAAATGTTGGAGTCAATGAATGGATATTTTCCTCCAGTCTTGTTTTACTGAATAACTAAACAGATTTAGCCAAATATAATTTTGCTATTTGGTTCTTTGGAAGCAGCAGCTTTCTGCCCTGAGTTTTTTACTGCTGTAGTACTCTCCAATTACCCTTAAAAGCAACAGAGTCCTATACTATCAGATCTAGACTTAGTGTGCTTTGGAGCAGAACATTGGCAGCTTGTAAAACAACTTTCCACAGCTGCACACAGAGGGGAGAAAAGTCTGTAGTCTTATTTTTTGGTGTAGGTTTGTTTTGAGAAGAGCAAGGCCTGGGCTTTTGCAGGCAACCCTGATCAGCAGAATAGCTCCATCAAACTTGCTATTCACTGAAGCAATTTTGAGCAATTCTGAAATAGCTTTAATTGATATCAAATTGCAGTTTCAGATTCAAGAACAGAGGAGCAGGGTGAGAGAAAAAGTATAGCCCTTAGTCTGCTGGTTTAACTTCTAGCATTAATACTGCATTCTTCCTGTCTCTTACATGCTTGGGAGTTATTGAATTAGGTTTACTAATAAATTAGTGATTTTTGTAACAAACCAAGCCATTAAAAAACCTCCCCAAACAATCTCTTCATTGGGATCACGTCATCCTCAGTCCAGAGGTACTTTTTGTCCCAATAGCCTGATTTTGAACAATGTATTTCCTAGATAACTGAGCAGTGATAATTTCAGTAGCCATGCTCATACACTCTGGTCTATGTGGCTCACAGAACTGGCAAGGGCTTGAGCACATCAGCACCATTTGTGCAAAGGTCTGACACATTGCATAGTAATGTAGTTATTAACTTCTGATTTCTTTTTCTAGAAGAAATAGGTCAGAAATACCTTAAATAACTGTTTTATAAGTATACTTTAGGAACTTTTACACTCACACGTGCTTTTATTTTTTCTTCTTTCAAAGAAGTTAACGCTTTTTTCATATTTCTGTTTCTTTTTTGATTCTGTGTCAGATTAAAAGTCATGTATTTTTTAAAGCTGAATTTAAAAAGCTCAATTTGTTTTAAATTTTTATTTTCCTGCAGAGTATTTCCCCATACTTAAATATAGCATAGGCCTTTCATATTCCCACGTAATAATTAATAATTAATAATTCCCGTGTAATAATTAACCTTGCCATTTTGAAATAGCTCCCTAGATAGCACTTTGGAGCTGTCACAGGTGACATTTTGGACTTGTCAGCGCTCCGTGTGAGTGAAGTGGTGTTTCTTGCACCTTTTTCTGACAGGCTCACGAGGCAGCCCTGGAGGCCAGGGCCAGTCCCGAGCTGGGCGAGCGCCTGCAGCAGCTGGAGCGGGAGGTGACGCGCTACCGCGAGGAGTCCAGCAAGGCTCAGGCCGAGGTGGATAGGCTCCTGGAGATCCTCAAAGAGATGGAGAACGAGAAGAATGACAAGGATAAGAAGATAGCAGAGCTGGAAAGGTGAGGATGGTGTAAGAGTTAAAAGAGGAGCAAAAAAACTCACATTAGTATGTTAGAGATAAGTCGTTTTTCTTGTCTTAAAAACCTTAAAGTGTCTGTTTTGGTAAAGTCTTTTAGAAGCTTTTAGTCTATTTATAATTTTTCTTTCTTTGGTCCTTTATTTTGTTACATTGTTAGGAAAAGGGTGTCTTACCATCTGCTTTTTCTTACCCGGCTACCCAAAAATAGGGCTGATACAGGTAGAACTAGAAGGGTAGATAGAGATATGAGGGAATGGAGAGGGTTGTAGCAGCTGCTGGAATTTTGGTGTGTTTGTAAAAGAGTTGGTTGTTTTGATACAATAAATTCCTCAGGCATGGCTTTCACAGAAACAAATAAGAAAAATGCCTTTTCAGAGCTTGTGTTACTATTTACTCAGATTCTTCTGACAAATGGCGTCATAACTCGGTACTGGTAGGGGTACAGGTAAACTTTGGCCCAAGTGAAGCCTGATGAGCAGATTTACTTTTGTCCAAGCAAAACTTGATTCAGCACTTTTCAGCATTTTCCATCTTTCTCTTGGTGCCAGGAGGCTGAAGACTATAATGTCCCTAGAAAAAATTGAAATTTATTATGATTCCATGACATTTGTATCACAAATACTAGTAATAGATCTTGTGAAAAACCTGAATTAGATTCTGTGTTCTGTCATTTTCTCATCTTACAGTAGGCCAAGAGCAAATTTCTGGACAGTAATACCTGTTTGGGGCTTTTTGTTTACTTTACCACTCCCAACTTGGAGCAGCAAAATGGAAATTTGATTATTCCCATTTGTCTTGTACCAGAATAGTCTTTCTGTCTTTCCATTGCTTAACTATTCTACAATTCTATGTGGAGGACATTTCAGGTTCTGCCATCAGTGATTATTTTTCATGGCTTGCTAATTGTCAAATTATGGGCCCCTCTGAATGATTTGAAAAACTCTTTTCTAAGGAGTCCATTCTCTTTTCCTTGACATGTACAATTCAGCTTGCCAGCGGGGTTTCTTCTCTCTTTGTGGCTGTAAGCAACATCCTGTTAGTTTTCTTTAAGTTGTTTTAATTCTTCATACCTATGGCATAAACTCAAACACTCAGGAGTGAGGATATATTCTTTTTTAATGTCTTCCCTTTTTTCCTAAGTGATGCACTGTTCAGCCCATTGCTACATAATGCAAACAGCAGAACATTCAGGCAATAGGTTGATACTGTTGAGTGAGTATAGACATGAAAATGCTACAAGTCACTCATTTGTGTGATTTTTTTCAGTCTCCATCTCAGGTGTGACATTCCCCATGTCATCCTCTTTAGGGCAGGCAAGTTGACCTGGGAACAGGTACAAGCAGCAAACTTCTATCAGAACTAAGATAGGGGGAAGGGATATATTCATAGTGCCTTAATTGGTTTTTTTCTTTGTGGAGAAGTTACTACTGTTTAGGAAAAGAAAGTCAGAAGTATGTATCATTCCTCAGCCTGATTCCTAGAGGAGATTAAAATGGCAGGAAGAGAATTCTCTTACATATGCTTTTAATGCAAGTTGACTTTTTTATTTTATTAGCATTCAGAAACTAATAATGATTTGAAATGCAGCATCAAAAATTGAATAGTCACAAGTGTCCTATAAACAAAAAAAAATTATAGTCTACAAAGGAAAAATAACAAAGAAAGAAATTAGGATGGATCTATTTTTATTGATAGAAGCAATTGCACCATCTTCAAAGAGTTAGACAGTTAGTTTAGTTAGTTTTTCTTGGAAAAGATGCACTTCTAGACATCTGCAAAGCAGTTATTGTTTGTCCTGTTACGTTCTAGTTTCTTGATGTTTCAGTCACTTTCACCTACTATGAAAACATAGAACCCCCAAATGAGTAGATGCTATTCTGTAACAATTGGGTAAATACTTTGACTATTCAGTTTTATCCATTCCTTCTTACCACCTGATCATCAGTCTTACAAAAAATCGAGTGGTCCTTTTCTCTTTTTAACTTATCTTTTCTTCCAGTACTGAGATAAGATAGAATATGTTTTCTCTTATTTCTAGTAATTAGGATGGGTATTTTGACTATGCAAAAGAAAAGACAGCTTTTTTTATTGTCTGACTCCCAGCAGCCAAATAAATTAAGGGGAGGAGAAAAATCTAAGAATATTCATTAAGTGGAAATAGAAAAAGTCTTCATGCTCTAGAGATCTAATCTGGATGCTGTTAGTGTGGTGAATCAGCCAAGCATCAGCAGCTGAAATGATTTTTCAGGTGTAACTGTGATATAAACACAGCACTGGAGAAAGAGACAGAAACTTCCAGATACTTTATGGTGAGGTTTTGACTGGTAATTTCTCTTTTTCTGAATAATCGTTGGAATTTCTATTTGACCTTAGTTGTTTTCAACTGCTCCCCCAAACAACTATTCTCTGAAAGCTTGCTTTCTTCTTGTGAGTTTTTGCATAAAGCAGAGATTCTATCATGCCTATTTCATGTGTAGGTTGGTCCTGTTTTTATCTACAATGCTTGATTATAAAATATTCTTTCATGTCTGAACCTATATATCAAAGCATGTTACATGCATGTTTTAGAGCTAGAAGAGCCCTGTTTCCAGGAAAAAAAATAGATAATTTTGCCTTTTCAAAGCCTTTCCTAAACTGTGGTCCATGCAGAGTGAGCTAGAAATTACCTTGACTTTTAATGCTTGTACAGCTGATCAAGCTGTGTTGTGCAAAGAAGAGCCTTAGTGCCTGCAGAAGCAATTGTCAGCAAGCTAAACAGCAAATATTGCTATTCCTAGCAGGAACAGTCAGTGTTCCGTGTGCAGCAAGATGAGAAGAAAAGGGTCACATACAGAGAAGAATTGTACTAAAAAAATGGGATTTTTCAAAAGAGAGTCTCTCTTCCTTGTAGTTTTCCCTTTTGCTAGTTGTGTGTGACAACTAGACCATATGCTGTCAGGGAGAGAGAAATGGTATCCCAGCTTCATCCACAGAAGAGATGTGTCACCTGTTAGGGAGGTGTGCTCAGGGGAACAGAGAAAGAGAAAAGACAGTAGGGAGAGGAAGATGAAATTGAAAGCAGAAAACTATTCTTTTAACCTTTTCAATGCAAGCAAAGCTGCCTTGTGCTTAAGGTAACATAAAGAGGGAAATGCTTCCACAGCTGTTGCAATTACTGACTGGGAGACATTGCTTTTCAGATGAAAGATATGTAAAAAAATGTGTGAATTACAGTGCATGCTATGCAAAATTTGAAAAATATTCTAGAGTCAACACAAGGTGGAAAGCACGAGCTCATTGGTGTATATACTCTGTGGGGAGGATTTTGCTTTTTCTTATGGGAAGGTGGGCCCTAAGTCCACATTTCTTCTGTGGGTGAACAGCCCCATAAGTTTTATTTGTGCCCCCTATTGTGGTGGTGTAGAGGTTTTGTAGCTGTCTGGTTATTCACTTCCTTTGTAACTAACTGTTTGCTTTTTGTACTGCCATCCCATAACCTCCTGTCTCTCTGTAACTTTTCATTTTGTGTTCTGTTTCCTCCCTTGCTTTCTCCTCCCCCTTGTCCCTCCCTGCTCCCCGAGTTGTGTTGTTTTGTTTTGCTCCCCCGGGGGTGTTTGTGACTGTGCCTTTCCTCAGAAAGCGCGGCTCCCGCTCTCCGCACCCTCCCTGCCAGGTGTCGGTCCCCGCACCGCAACACCTGGGGGGGTTTGTGTGGGACTTCCTGGGAAAGTGAGTGCCCTCAAGGCTTCTGTTTCCTCCTCTGGGCTGCAGTGTGGCCTCTGCTGCTGCTGCTGTTTGGGGCTGCTGCGATGCTGCTTCTTTCTCTAGGTCAAACAGCACCTGCTTATGTCGAGTGCAAGCGCTGCTTGTGACCGCAGTCCAAAGGAAGTTGGCTGCTGTTCTCTCTGATGTAAACTTGACAGAAGCTGTTGCTTTTTAATTCTAATTCTCTTGCTGTGTTTTGCCTTTGGTTCTGATCTCTGCTACCTACCTACCTGCCTGAACCAGCTAAAAGTCAGTGTGTCATTGATAGAGGTCAGTTTATCAGTTTCTCTGGGTCTGGACTGAAGGCACTTGAGACACTAATTTATGTTGGGACTCAGGTGTTTATTATTTCTTATCAGTAAAACAGTCTCACTGCTGTGAGTTCAGCAGCAAGGCACAAAATGGCCAACAGTCTCTTGTTCCAAGGTCTTTTAAGACTAAACTATCCAATTAAGAACTGGTACCTAGATTATTTTCCCTTTTAACCCAGTAACTCATCCCAAAGAGCTCCCAATGCAGACTTTTCTGCCCAATCACAAAATGCCACTCAAACCCATGGAGAAGAAGCATGAAGAAGAAACCCAGGACAACACCCTGTGCCCTCCATCTTGCTGCCATCCACAACACACTAAAAATCCCAAAACCTCAATTTCTCACCAAGTGATACACCTACACTACTCTCTATAATCTATTTCACACTTTGGTGGGTTCTAGTCTATCTTGAAGTCCAGGAAACTTTCTCCATGAATGAGGGTCAGAGTCAGTGCTCCCCTGGGGGTCAGGGCACCCCAGAGCAGACAGAGAAATATTCCCAGTGCCCTGGGTTTCTACAAGTATTGACTTATTATTGAGTTTTATTGTGAGGATTATCCTCTAATAAGAAAACAAACAAAAGGTAATGCTCCTTATCTGGGACATGGCCATCAGAGCCTTCAGAGTAGTTTGTACACAGAATAGTTTATACACAGTCCATACAGTAGTTTATACACAGCTCTATTGGTATGCACCTATTATGCAAATAAGAAATTTGTACTTGAGAAGTGGCAGGAAGTGTATCTCTGTATGTTTCTTCAGAAGTGAGCACTGAGTGAACATATATGCAAGCGCTAGTTCCAGTTGCAGGCTTAAAATTGATTTTCATTTGGCACGCTCACTATATGAGATAGGTTCTTGCAAGGACACAAGGCCTGGTTTTTTTTTCCTGAAGGAAACTTTGATTTGAGAGCAAAGGAGGAC